TAGGACTGCAGCAAGACAATAAAATGTTTACATATGCTGTTTTATATGGTCTTGCTATCTGAACTTCTCAGTTGTTGAGAAGATACAGAATCATTATAACAAACAGGGATTTGGTCTTTTAACTTGTTGAACTGTACCTTAATGAGATGAGCCAGCAGTTTCCTTAAATACTGGTCTTGGCCGTAACACAGGAAGCTCTGGGTGTATAGTCTGTAGGTTTCTCCAAAAAGCTTCAACTCCATTGTGTTATTTTCATTCTCCACCTTTTCAGAGGTTTCAAAAGTAATCTGAGTAGATGCTCCTCCTAAATCCAAAGCTCCAATTGTCTCTCTGCCTGGATTCATCCAGTGACCTACAAAACCGTACTGGGTAATAACAAAGGACACCACAGAGGAATTAGAATCACTTAGAATCAACCAATAACATTCAATGAAAACGTTTAGAGAAAAATGAGCAAAGCACTCGAATGCTCTAAAACTGTAAGATCTAAAATAGCTGTTTGGCTTCACTTGGAAATGGAAAAGAGGCCACATCCCCACCTAAACATGCAACTCATGCATCATAAAATACCTACATGTAATTTTCAACTGGGACGCTTCCAGCACTTGGTATCTTCATGCACACCAGTCAATCCATCACATTTCTAACACGGTGCTCAATTAAAAATGTTAACTAGATCCTGAACTCAGTTTTCATTATGTTGTTAATAATACTCACTGTAAGTAAGTTAACAGTCACAAACAAGATACTCAGCTAAGTACAAGTAAAATTATTAGTTAATAAGTCAGTTTAACTAATAAATATCTAACTTGGAAAATAGGTGAAGGGATTTACTGAAACATATACAGGCTAAAACCAACAATTCAGGCTTGAGCATGAATAGTTAGGATGACTGTCTTTAATCATCAGTACAGCCTGAAATCTCTTAGGAGAGCTCTAATTTCTGTAAGTAGTCTTCAGGGATAGGACAATAGACAATAAAAGGACACTATAAAAACTCTTCTTTAGGTGTTATTTGTCCCTTTCTAGAAATTTCAACTTTTGATTGCGTACTCCATCAGACCTGTTGCCCCTATTTTTCATTGCAGATCTTGTGCAATGTGACACACCTCATCTTTTTCCCTGTTACCCTTCTTTAATGATGGCTTGTGATGGCTTTGTATTTCTTTTTTGCAACTTTAACTTTTTATTAGCTTTAGTTAGTATTGAAAACAATACAGTTTGGAAAATTACAAACAAACAGTCTGGAGTTTACATTTCTTTTTCCACACGCAAATCTCTTTTTATGTCGTGTTTTTGGTGCCACTTAAAAATGTTTTCCACTTCCTCCATTGTCTGTCATACTTACAGCCCATCAGTCTAATACAGAAAGTAATTTCTGAGATACCTTTTGCAATTCTAATCCAATCTTGTTGAGTGGGAGGGTCTGGGTGTAACCAGTTCTTTGTGATTGCTTTCTTTGTTGTGGCTAGGATTATATTTACTAGATACATGTCCTCCTTTTATACCAGTTCCTTTATGTTTCCAAGTTACATCACTTGACTGGTGTTTGGGAGTGCATAACCCAGAATATTATCCATGGTCATTTTAAGGTCTTCCCAACACTTTTTTATTTTTATGCACTTCCAAAATACATGTGGGTAATCAGCTTCTGTTTCTCCACACAGTCTCCAACATTTATTTATTCATGCTATCTAATCAGCACCTTGACATGCCACACCTGTGAGGTGGGATGGAGAAGTTCTCACTAACACAGATTTAGACAGATTTGTGAACAATATTTGACAGTCATGGGTCATTTGTGTTTGTAGAAAATGTTTCAGATCTTTAAGTTCAGCTCATGGAAAATGGGAGAAAAATCAAAAGTGTTGCGTTTATATTTTTGTTCAGTGTATGTACAGATATGGGCTATGTCCAAAACAAATAATAACAATAACAATAAAAAACATCTATGTGATTATAAATCAATATTTTAATCAGAAGCTACTATTTAAGTTTATGTTTAAAGATATTGACCCTTTCAGTTCTTGTCATATCCTGAAAAAACAAAACCTTTCATGTTTCATGAGTTTGTGAGGCAGTGCACGCTGCTATCCAGCTGCCTTGCATGTTAACAGAAAAAGCAGAAATTCATCAGAGAGACAGCACTTACCTTGACAAAGTTTTCCAGTAAGTAGTTAACAGTGACCCAGCCAAATACCCCTTCTGCCTGCCCGCTCAGAATGATTGACTCTTTGAATTTGAAAGGGTAGGACTGGAGTTTGTTTTCCACTTCCTTCATTACACGCTGCGACTTTGAGGCATTGGTGATGCTATCAATACATTGGTTAAATGAAGCAATTGTAAAACTTTCTGAATTCATTTCAACACAGATATTAATCACTGATAGAGTTTGTGGTGAATTATTAACCACTAACCTCAGCAGCCTCATGCCTGCAGTCGCTCCCAAACAGAGCGGAGTTTGATGGTGTCTGAATTTGGGGATATTCGTCAAAGCTTGTTCCAAGCACTTCTCGAGACTCTTTGCTGCACCACTAGGATTGTCGGCATAGCTTGATATCCCACCACCTGGATGAGAAGAAAAAGTAACTCTAATTGTTTAAGAACCTGATCCAAGGCTGCACTTTCTTGTCTTGGAGTCATCCACTGGTGTTTCTAAGGAAACATTGATAACAAGGTCAATAAAAGGGGAACAGCTGGTACTTACTAAGCTAGCAAAGAATGTCTGGTGAGGAAGTGGACCACTTAAGTCTTACACAACACAATTTGAGTATCCTTAACAGCACTGGATATTTTTCTACAGGGTGAAATTGTGGAAGTGAAAGTGAGAGTGTCCTCACCAGTGGAACCTTCTGGGGTTAAATGGTCAGTTCTGGAGGCTGGCAAACATTTTCCACTTAACACCAGCAACATTTCTATAAATGGTTTTGGTATTGCTTAGCAATAATTTGAGAAATATTTGTGATCCGTTACATGTTCCATATGTAAGGGTATGACCCCCCCTATGTTGTGGCGACACTCTGGCTAACCCGGCCATGCCCCACAGCTCAAGTATAAAACAGGTGTGCAGATGTGAAACTGGTGATTGAGTTTTGAGTGCCCTCCCTTTGAGCCTCTGGAGAACACTGAGATAAAGTGGCTATCACTTAAAAACCTCCCTCCATAAAATCTGCCAAAAGAGTTAGTGAACTCCAGGCACTATCGGTCCACAGTGAGTGTTGCAGGTGATTCCCGGATGGGAAGGGGGTGGAAGCTCCCCTTCCCTCGGTTGTGCGGGCCCACTTGGCCCATGGGGTGGCCACCTCTTGGGTCATGTGGGGCGGCAGCATGGTCCTCAGCTACCACCTTTACGCAGTTTTATTGCTTGAATGTGGCAGCCAGCCTGTGTTTTGGGTGCTGCGTGCCCATCAGCTGTAGCCGTTGTTCCTTGGTCAGCCTAGCAACTTGAGGGCTGACCATGAGTGGCTGCTCAGTTGCGATCCTTGCGTCTTGCAGGACTCGCTCAGTCCTGCAAGTCTTGCATCTGGCAGACTGAAGCCTCTGCCTGGCTCAGCCTTTGCGTCTGCCGTGGCCTTGACTGGGGTGGCATGCATATATATACATTTGATAATTGTTCTTTTGGTACACTTTCTGGGTTTTCGGCTGCACTGTCTCCTTGCGGGGTGTCTTTAAGAGTTACCCCATACATGTGGAATATGTAACGGAGTGGAGAGATAGTTTCTCACTCAGTGAACCAAGGTTACAATGTAACCGTA